GAATCAAGACTTCAGCAGGCATTTTATATCACCTAAAAGTTTGTAATAAATATAGCACAACATACAGTAAACAAACATTCCAATAAGATTATTTCCCTATTGAGCAATCAAATAGTGAATAGTTTAATGTCAATTGTAATATACAGTAGTTGTAGGCTGAGACATATACAGTAGTATACATATATAGTATACCATATACAGTAGTCGCACACCAGCTAACCAATAAAAATATACATAAAATATTAAATAAAAAAATGTTGTCCCCATAAGTTGTCCCCAACTCTTAAAAAATATAACAGCTAACTAATGCTTCGTATTATTATCATCACAATGTTATTCTAATTATCAATACTAAGTTGTATTTCTACAATTTTCAAACTTGCTGTGTTTCAGGGCTTCTCAGTCTGGCAATGTTATGATAGACACGTAGAGTACACTGAATCATGTATGATGTTACTTTTGCACATTAAATCTTCGTTCCACAAAGATGGTGGCCTGAACAATGCAACTGAAATTTGAAAAATGTAATAAAAAATGCCTACACTTTGCTTTGCCAGGATAAGCAAATTGCACAGATGTCCAATCCCCACCATGCAGAAGTAAAGGCCTTTTTTTAGATATTGTCTCTCAGGTTCCTGACCAAAAATAACTGAATGAGGGTTTCTCATATAAAAGCACAAACACTGCTGCTGTGTTCCCTGTGAGAGAATGCTTCTTCAGGTGAATGCAGTTAGTGAGATGGCCCTTTGAGGCCCTTTCACATTCTCTCCCTTGGCACACTGAATCATTTCTATGGTGCTTTTGGAAGAGGTGATTGGTTGGGTTGTTTGGTTTTGTGTTGTGGATGCTTGAAGTACTGTGATTGAGCTCCCAGACTCTACAAACGGCTTGAGGCTTTCCCTGAGGTCTATTGAATATTGAAAGGGATACCACAGACTGTGCAAATGAGGGGAGGAGTGTTGTTGGACCATGCTATTCTTCATTATTTATGTTCTGTTTTTGATAATTAATAAAAACTGGTTTACAAAGAGAGGGGCATGCTGATGAGTATTTAGCATTGCTGCCTGGAAGCTCTAGGGCCCTGGGTTCAGTTCTGGACCTGGTGTGCCAACTGCATGCAGTTTGAATGTTCTACCCACGTGTTTGTGTTGGTGCTGGGATAGGAATTAGATGAAATGGTTAGAAAAAAGGATGGATGAATGGGTTTCCAAAAAAACTAATTCCAAATCCCCTTTAATCAGATCACATTTAACATTTAAAATTTAAAAAGAAAATTCTTTGTTATCATCCTACCAAATGAACTTTTTTGATCCATCAATAGAAGTAGAAGGACTTGATCGCATTCAGTACATATTGCTGTGCAAAAGGTTTTAAAAGAGAAATTCTTACAGTATATGATCAAGGGAATTGATGAGAAATATATTTTGCTTTAACTGAGGAAACACAAAGTAGCATTACAAACCTATTCTTTCATGATGTCTATTGGAGTGCTGTGCTATACTGTACATGTGTCTTTTAGTGCATCATATCAGACTGATGCTTGAAGTAAAAAAAACAACTAGGCATAATCTATGCAATCTTTTCTGAGCTAGCAATGGTGGATTCATGATAGAATCATAAAGCAAGAAATGGACCACTTCTGAATAAATGCATTTATTTTAAATCTGCATAAAAATCAACACTGTACATAAAACAGATAAAGTATGTAAGCTAGCATTTTTAATGCGTAATCAGAGATGGTGATTCATCTTTTTCTTTGCACTAGATCTCAGAGCCTGCAGATGATGAAATAAGAAGGTGATACTGTAATAGTAAACTATGTTAAAAACAGTGGGACATTTAATATTCATCATCCTAAAGTGCTTATCAATACATAAAAAGCACATTTTGCTAAATAAAATTCAAAACATTAAAAAGTCAATAAAATAATCACAGTTATATACTGTAATATTAAACACACATACACACACTTTCCTAAATAATGATAGATATAAAAGCACCAAAAGTATGAGTCCCTGATTTCTTTTGTGTTGGTGTTCCAGTGTTATAAGGCATAACAACAAAAGGCCCATAGAATGTACAGTAGGTGAATGTGGGAGCACGTAAGATACCAGAAATATTTCACCTGAAATACCAGCACCTAGATACCAGAACTCTACAGAAGAGTAAAGGGTGCGTGGAATGCAATAAACTGGGAATATATTGCCCAGATACTAAGTGACCATACCAAGACTGACATTTCAGAAACAATGTACTGTATATTCAAGTGCTAAAATCTGATTAAACAGAAAACAGCCATTTTGTTTGTGCCAGGTGTATTTGTGAATCCAAACTGTTTATTTTTCCAATTTATTTTCCAGACACTGCTTAAAGTAGAAACTGCAGGACTAAAGTGCAACACTGGCTGTTAACTGAGAATTAAAATAGGCCTAACTAATCACGCTCATTACATTTTGGTGGTGTACTGCAATTCATAATAATAAAGAAGTACTTTTATGATTTTATTGACTAAGAAGATATTAGTTTGGAATGATAATATATAGTCTGAATCAAGGTCATGGAATATTTGGATGCCATGACCTACAGTATCATAAACATACAGTACATAATAATCTCATTATTTTCACCTGTTAAGCGACACTGCATTTAACATCAGTAGAATATTAAGACTGGCAGTAGCTTCTTAATGAGAACTGGTGGGTGTTGTGTGGTTTCAATAAATACAGACAGCCAGGATGCTGTGGGCTGTCTTGAAGTGACAGGCCACTGCCCGTGTGGTTTACAGATGAATTAAAGAACAAATGGTTTGGTAACAAGTGAAGGATACGATAGGCTTTGTCTTGCTGTACTTTACACCAGTGTCAACTTTTTCTCTCCTCTTTCTTTAGGAGAAAAAACATCAAAACATTCTGAAAAAATGTTTAAAAAAATACTGTTGAAGGTTCATTAATTTTGTTTTTCAGAAAATAAAACCTGGCTACAGTGAGCCCCCTTGTGTTTAAATTAGGAAGGTTTGCAAACTATCCAAGGCCTTTATCTGTTTTTGCTTTGACTTCATCTAAAAAATTAAGGGCATGGCTAATATTTAAGAAATGTTTCCTGTTACTAACATATGCTATAAACACTGCTGCATGATTAAATTGAATATAATTTACTTTTTTTTTCAAATCTGATGTTCTCATATCTGTAGAGATGCAATTAGTTTCAACTATAACTGATTTACTGTACGCATCCAACCAGCTGCATCTAGTCTGAGAGGACTTTTTTTCCATAAATCACAGCAGATATTTTAGTGCATAATTGGCAAGAGACACAACAGGAAGCAAATACTAAAGACACTTAAAATAAAACAGTTAACTTTACTTTGTATTGGAAACATGAATGATCAGTAATGGCACAGTGTTTGCATTCACTAGGTGTTCCGATAATCATAAGAGTCCTACCAAGACCTTCTTACACATAAAGGAATGTGGAACCAACACCTGTGTATGGAAAGGATATAATATAAAATATATTTTTTAATTGTATTCATAATTGGGAGAATGTGAAAGTTAGCATAGCGTAGTTAATACTTACATTTACATTACATGACAAGAACTACTGTATAGTAGATTAGGTTTTGCTCTTTTTGCCTTATCATTGTTGTTCCCTCAGCCAAGTGAGTTAAAACTAAATTTGTATCTCAAATTGCTCACACACTATTCTCAATGGTAGGGTTAGCCAAAAGCTATTGAACTCACAATTAACCAAGTTAATTGATTTGATGAAAGGATTTTGAGTCATACTGGATGCAATAATTGTGAAATCTAAGGATGTACAGTATGCAGGCATGTTCTGTCTCTCTATCAGTAATTCTGCAAAGTCAAAATAATGTGCAGACTTGGAACAAAATTTAGTTATGAGGGCACTGGCAAAGATAAGCAAATATGCTGTATGTGCAGAAACTACAGATGAGATTTATCTGTGACAGCTCTGTCTTTTTCCTTGCTGAATGATGAAACTTGAAAGCTTTAATTCACTGGATAATGATTCACCTAGGTATTGTATTGTGCCATGTCCTTTCATTTGTGCATAGATTTTCTTCTATGGAATTAACGATTCAGTTTAAGATGGTTTTAAAAAATGTTTTGCACTGAGAAAATGTGTAGTGGCATTTGAAAATATTGAGAGGAAAAAAAGTTAGAACATCGGAAAGAGTAAGACTGAAAGTGGGCTATTTAGCACATCTCGTGGCTCATTTGGTGGCTTGTACAGTAGTTTATATTCCCAAAGATTTCATCCCTGTATTTCAGAATCCTCAGAAGTTTCATTTCATGTCAATCAGATTTTATATGAATTAATTGATAAGATAAGCAGTCAACATGATTCATTGTGGCATACAGATAAGAATTGCTCAAAATGTGTTAAAGGCTTTTCAGGAAACTTTTTGTGTAAATTGTAATAACAATGACAAGGTCAAAACAGACTTATGTTTAATGTTAACCATCATTGTTTAGATTTTGGTGGAAACTAAAACTGTTAGAAAGACATACATTTTCAAAAACCTTGGAGAGGTTTCTGATTTAAGCACTAGCATAAAGAATTACAACTTTGTGAAAAGACAATTTGTCATATGTAGTGTACAGTATATACAGTAATGGAATCAATAGTTAATACAATGAAGAGCATTTGTAAGTGATCTTGCTTTTCCTGGGCAAAAAAGGTGAATGATGTAAAGAAGTGAATTTAGGAAAAAGAGTAAATCAGATATAAAGTACAAACCTATGCTTTTGCGCACACAGGTTACTTCACAGCAAAATGTTTTGTCTTACATCCATAATAAGAGTTATCTAAACGTTGGGTTAGTTGGTGTAGCTGGAAATTTTTCAGTAGCAAATTTAATGGCAAGTGATAATATTTTTCATTTAATTTTCCTGTCCTTAGATTCCACTTATTAAAATCATTCATGTCAAGTTCCATTGCAACAATATTTATGCTGTTTTCTTTTCCTTTGATCCTAGCCAACGCTATTGCATGTGCAATCCAGATGTGGTGCAACAGTTCCACAACCCTGATACCATCTTCATCCTGGCCTTCGCCATCATCCTCCTCAACACTGATATGTACAGCCCAAATATCAAGCCTGACCGCAAGATGATGCTGGAAGACTTTATTCGTAACCTGCGTGGTGAGTTACTAAAACAAAAATGTTTAATTGCTGTTAATATTTCACTAGTGCTCCTTGGCGATTAGATCAAAATATGGTGAGCAATTTGAACCGTATATTAAATGTTCAAATCAGAATTTCACGTTTGATACATGTTGTACATTCAATACCTCAACATTCAGTTTTACTTTTCTGCTGCGATCTTTAGTGTCTCTTGCAATTTAGTCTGCCCTTTTGAAGTATGTCTGGTATGAATGATATTCACATGGCATTAACTTTGAGCTTCTCTATCTTAACAGGGTTTGGCACAGTTTACTTTCAGGGAGACATGCCAGCCTGTCAGTTTTAAAACAGTATGGGATTTAGCTTTCCCTTTTGATATTCTACAGAGAACTAGGAGTAGTTTTTGCAACAGTGTGACTTACTAATCTACACAAATGAATGAGCAATTATCTGTTTAAAGCTAAATATAGAAAAGTAGAAAACATTCTAACCATTTCCATATTAATCTTAATATCCAGTGCTGTTCTCATTTTGCTTTATTGCACCAGAGGGTGCATTTTTTAATATATAAAAAACAACAACATTCAAAGCTTTAAGATTGTGCATTTCAAGGAGTTGCAAGTCATGCAGTTATGCTAATACCCAGACAGAGAAATCCATATGGATAGTGGTCTTTGTTTTATGCAGAAACCAACACATTGCCAACAACACCTGTGAGTGTTTACAGCTTTATTGTTGGGAGATGCTTGACAATCCACCTTATATGCCTGACCTGGCATCCAATGGTTATTATAAAGAAGCATCTTTCCAGAAAACAATTTGCAACTGACAGTTAATTGCTGCAACCAGTTAAGTCTTGGCTCAAGCACTTTGACATGGAGTTTTGCTGTGCCAGGTTCAATATGTTGGTTGCAAAATGGAACAAATGACTAAACAGTTCTGGATTCTGCATCTGGTTGGGGGATAAGCACAGACTGTACATTACATAATTTTAATATAGGGCCTTATTTTGAAATTAATGTATAATTTCTTACCTTCTTATTTGTTATACTCGTAGTTTTATACAAATAAATGCATTAATATACCTGAAAGTTCATGTTAACTTATATATACTGTATATAGGAATATCCATATAGAAACATGGTCCCTTACATAAGCCATGGTTTCTCACAGGTTACATAATTTGGAAATCAAATTTTTAAGAGCATTGTCTTTGTTTGTGATAGGTAACACAATGGCATGACACAGCTGGTACTTCATAGCTCTTTTGTCCTAGGTTTAAAATTTGATTGGTGTTCTTAGTGTGTGGTGTTTCCATGTTCTCCTAATGGTTTCATGTGTTTAGGGGCTCTCAAGTTCCCTCCCACCTCTCAGAGCTTGTTGATTATGCTAAATTAATTATTTAATGAGAAGCTGTACTGTACTGTATATTGTCAGTCCCAACATGGTTAGGATGAGGTCCGGGTGAAGATGTCGATCTTCATTGTGTTATTTTTTGCATTCACTTTGCAGTCACACAATATGGTACAGTATTTCTTCTCATTGTTCCATTTGATTCCAGCTAATGTGATTCGTGAATATCTTGGTTTATCATGATGGATCACTTGCAGCCACGTATACCCTCCATCCAATTTCAATTTATTTACTCGTATTGCACAAAGCAATGTTTAAGCACTACATTTGATCTTATAATACATTTTAAATGTATTGCTGTTTGAAAAACAGAACATATGAGTTTTTATACTTCATGACTGAGATTTTAAATGGGCTGTCCAGAAAAGGTTTTACAGATCAGACCACAATAAAGGAAACCACCACCATTTCCTTCCTTTGATATAATTTATCTCTGTCCTCAAGAGGTGATTGAGCCCTTTCTTGTCTTTGATGCATGAGATAGTAATTAGAGGGACATCACACAAATTACTGACATCAGAATTGTTCTTACTACAGTGCCATAGATAAATCCCATAGATAAATATGGAAATTCCATAGTTGTACTATGGTAGCCTTCTTAACTCCAGAAAGAGTTTGTGCAAATATCCAATAGAGTTTATAGTAACCAATTCCATGTCTCTTGGGGAAAAAAAATGATGTATGATGTATGATTTAAACAAACAGTGACTAATAAAGGTACAGGGGATATGAAAAAAGTGAGATAACCCCTAGTTTCATTAGCTCAATTAAGGGAATAATTAGAATCAGGTTTTTGAATACCTACCTCAAGGAGGGGTTATGAAAGACACACACTATATAAGTTCAGAATCCATACTAGTTTGGTCTTTACCATACAGGTTTGTAGAAAAACATCATTACACAATCTAAGGAAATGGCTGAGGACCTCAGAAAAAAAGAGTTAGTTATGCTCATCAAGTTGCTCGTAAAGAGTTCCAAGTATTTGAGGATCTACAATTCCACTGTCAGACCTCTCAGTCCTCTCTCCAATCTCTCCAAGACAAACCAGAAAAAGAAGTAACAAAGAACCCCAGAGTAACATCCAAAGAACAGCAGGCCACTCTTGCCTTGGCTTATGTAACTGTTCATGACTCAACTATCAGAAAACAACTGAACAAGAATGATGTTCATGGAAGGATAGCAAGGAGAAAATGATTGCTCTCTAAAAACAATGTTGCTGCCAGTTTGAAGTTTACCAAAAAGGCATACAGATGATCCACAATGTTTCTGGACAGACAAATCAAAGGTAGAATACTTTGTCCTCAACAAGGCATTTTATGTTGGGCAAAAACCAAACACTTCTTTCAAACAAAAGAACCTTATCCCAGTCATCAAGAATGGTTGTGAGAGAGTGATGATTTTGAGCTGCTTTGCTGATTTTGGGCCACAGGTTACCATTGTACAGGTTACCATTAAGAAACCATGTGAATGCTGCCAGACAATACATCACAATATGGCATTGGCCAACAATAGAATTGACATTATCAAACTTCAAAACCAACTGATTTACCTCGTAGTGGCTGTCCACCTATTGACTGCATCAACTGGTGGTAAACAGTATCTTGAGAGACAGGTTCCTGAATCCAATACCTTCATCAGGCTACAGGAATATACAGTATGCCTAAGCACGGCACTTATCTTATGGCTTGGGGACCTTATGTTGTTCTGCCTAAAACTTTCCAATGTCACCGACAGGAACACCCTGATAAGACAGCAGTATTCACATATAGAGGTTTATTCCATGCTGAAAAGAGAAATAAAGAAACACAACGTGTGAGACAAACTGAAGAAGGCTCCTCAGCGGAAATGTTGTTTCCTTTCTTCTCTTTTCAGCATGGAATAAACCTTTAACTTCCTTTGTAGCCTACGCATGCTGACGCAGCTATCTACTTGAACTAATAGTAGTCACACATGATACCCACTGAGGTTCCTGCACAGAATGTGTGGCAGAAGAGGGCTTTCTGCAGAAGAAATAGAACTGCATACCCCAGCAGATTATGAAGTAGCATATCAGACATCACATACAGTATTAAACAAAAATAAAAGAACAATTAACAGCAACACAAACAAAGTTAACAGGACTAACTCAGTATTGAAGCTGAAAACAACTGATGTGAAATTGCTTTTAATTTCATTTTAATTTCATAAAGACCCACAGGTCACATGACCTTAACTTTATTTTGATTGCTATAATGAAATGATTACTTGATGGTTAATTTTCTTGTTTGAAATATAATACTCCATTTGATTTCAATCATCTGTTTTTCATTTATAATTGCATTTTTTTGTTATTATATACTATGAGACTAAATCATTTTTTTCCGTGAGCCAGAGTACAGCTGAGGTGCAAGAAGAGAGAACAGTAAATTGCTTTATTCACAGATGAATGTCATTTTGCACTTGACAGACCTGACCAAAGACAGGTGTTTGGAGAAGTTGGGGGAAATTTTATACTGACTGTTGATGTTTAAGACAAACTTGATTGGCTGTGTAAGTGTGATAATGCGCAGGGGAGTCATCTTTTAACACAAATCCACCTGTGGTTCAGGTTGAGAGGGAATGTACAGTACTTCTCATCAATGCATTGACAAAGACTCAAATGTTCTTCCTTTAAACCTGTCCCTGGATTACAGATTTTTGCAAAATGTAAAAAATGTAAGATCATGCAATATTTGGACAGGTCAACTACTGTATGACAACTCTTCAAAAACAATGGTGAGATCTTGCAATAACCAGTATTTAAACCATTTTTGGGACCAAACTGCCAGTGTCATTAACAGAAGACAATATACTGTAGCCAGAGAAAATATTCCTCATTCAAATCTGAGCAGAAAGAATTGAGAAAAGTAACAGTGAATGAAGAACAAGAACATTACAGCATATGGGAAAGCACAACAACTTATGCTTTATTTGGACAATTAAGAAATCAGTGATGAGAGCAAGTTTGAAATTTCAGTAAAGAAAACCATAAAGAAATGCAACAAAGTACAGTAAGTATAAAAAGAAGTATTGTAAATAAGATATGGCAGAATAGGTGGAGAATGGATGGCAACAGATTCTGCGATGCAGAACAGATTTATCCCAAGAGTGAGTAAATCAAAACCTAAAAAAAACACTAAGAGTACAATAAATTGAAAGAAAAGGTAAAAATAATATACTGTACTGTAAGAGAGATTAAAAAGAATATTACAAAGGAAGCTAAGATAATAAATGCACTTTAGGTTTTCAGTTCAATAATAGGAAAAGAAACATAAGGAATAAGTAAAATATATCCTGGACAATAACGGTACACTTCTACCTTGTCTACTGTAGGTACCATTGTTTGATACATTCTAGACAATGGAAGGAAAGTGGCTGATGTAGTGAAAGAATACTATATTTCACTGATGTTCACAAAGCAAGAAATTAAGAACATACCTCTGACAGTGGAAAGACAAATGTTTTTAATAAATAGTCCTGACATACAGTAGAAGAGAGTGACAAAACTGAATCAGATAATTATAGACAAGTTAACTAAATTAGAGGATCACCTTTTTGAAAATATTGTCCAAGGGAATAGTAAACAT